GGCTGAGGCAAGAGGATCACTTGAGCCCAAGAGTTTGAGGTTGCTGTCAGCCATGACACCCATGTCAGCACTGTACCCAGGGTGACAGAGTGAGACTCTATTTAAAAACAAACAAACAAACAAACATATTTTGCAGAACAGTCTTCCAAGGAAACTGACTTGGGAAATGCTGGGGTTTTGTTTTAGTGGGGATTTTTTGTTTGTTTGTTTCTGAGGCAGAGTCTCACTCAGGTCACCCTGAGTAGAGTGCCATGGTATCATAGCTCAAAGCAACCTCCAACTCTTAGACTCAAGCGATCCTTCTTGCCTCAGCCTCCCAAGAAACTGTGCTACAGGCACCTGCCATGGTGACTGGCTAGACTTTTTTTTCTATTTTTACTAGAGATAGGGTCTCACTTTTGCTCAGGCTGGTCCAGAACTCCAGAGCTCAAGCAATCCATCCACCTCAGTTTCCCAAAGTGCTAGGATTACAGGCATGAGCCACCGTGCCTGGCTTGGGTTATTTTTTCTATTAGAGAAGGTGAAAAGCTACCTGGTGTTTAAGCATATAAACTTCAGACAAACCTGAATCTTAATTAAGGCTCTTCCACTTACTAGCTGTTGACAAGTTACCTAATGCTACAAGTAAGACTAGCTATGTAACTTATGAGGTGCAATATTAATAATTTCAAGACAGCAGTAGGAGAGTTAAACCAAGCATGGGTACTTCTGACCTGATGAAGCTGGCCCTGGTTATTGTGTTTCAGTTTCCTCAGCTATAAAGTGTGCATAATACCTACTTGGAGGGATTATTGTGAGAACTAAATGAGAAATGTATGTAAAGAGCCTGTATAGTACTTGGCACAAAATAGGTGATAATAAATGACTTGTTTTTAATTGAAAAGCATTTATAGCCATATTCAATAAACATGTATTGAGCATCCATCATGTGCTGGGCATTGTGCTAGGTACTCAGGATACTATGGTAAAGATACCGTATACTGCCCCTGTCTCCATGTAGAGTATTGCGTAGCAGAAAAGGCAATAAAAACGTAAACAAACAAGACAGTGATAAAATGCTATAGAGGGGGAAATAGGGGGCTGGGAAGGAGAATGAAATAGAATCTGCTTTAAATTGGGTGGCCAGGCAAACCGCCTTCTAGGAAGTAATATTTAAGTTGAGATCAGAAGGATGAAAAGGAGCTCTTTGTAGGAGGAGCAGGAAGAAAAGTATTCCGGGTAAAGAGAATAACTGGTGTAAACACCCTGAAGTAAGAGAGAACATGGTATTTTATAGAAACTAAAAGTAGGCCAATGTGGCTTTAATGTAGGGAGAGTGAGAAGGAGAATGATACACGGGAGGGGAAGAAGGTAGGATCCAGACCACGGAACACCTTTTAGGATGAGACAAGGATTTTGTATTTTATGCCAAGTGCAATAAAAAATTCATAAAGGATTTGGGGCAGGGCAGTGACATGATCTAATGAATATTTGTAGGAGATTGTTTTGGCCATTGTGTGGAAAGAACTGGAAGATAGTCGAGAGTAGATGATTAGGAAGCTATTTCAGCAGTCCAGGAAAGAGCTGGAAGTGCTTTGGACTTGGGTGGTATTTGAGGATACAGTGATAATCAGATGGATTTTAGACTTATTTTGGAAATTTAAAATGATAGGACTCGCAAATTGCCTTGACATAGAGGTTTAAAGGACAAAAAGAAATGAAGAATGACTCCTAACACTTTTCTGAGAACCTGGATGGCACCATTAAACTGAGATGAGATGCCTGGGGAGGGTTGTTTTGGGGGCCAGAGAAGTGTAGAAATCAAGACCTTGCATTTAGATATGTAAAGTTTGAGGAGCCTTTGAGACATCTAAGTGGAGATGGTGGTACTAGAGTTGTTTGTACTATTTTTTGTTTGTATTATTCTGTGATTACTAACTCTTGGTGTCACCCCCTTAGACTACCGGAAAGTACTCAGAAGACGTCTAAAAGAAAGATATCTAAAAATTGGAGTTGATAAATGTTATCATCACGGCAAGCATATAGCATCACGACTGCTTCTTGTAAAAGAGCATGGTGTATCAGATAAGACACCATGTGGAATTCCTCAACAGGATCATTTTATTAATATGGAACATGTGTTTGATCCTGATGAAGCGGGCTTCAGTTTATCCCGAACTGTGGTGCTTCAGGGATGTGCTGGGATTGGGAAAACGGCTTTGGTGCACAAGTTCATGTTTGACTGGGCAGCAGGCATCGTTTCTCCAGGCAGATTTGACTATCTCATCTATATCAACTGCAGAGAAATAAGCCATATTGCTAGCCTTAGTGCTGCTGACCTGATCACTAACACTTTTCAAGATGTAAGGGGACCAATCTTGGACATTGTTCTCATATATCCAGAGAAGCTTCTGTTCATTCTCGATGGATTTCCTGAGCTGCAGCACCCTATGGGTGACCAAGAAGAGGCTCTGAGTGTGCAACCGCAGGAGAGGAAGCCAGTAGAGAGCCTCTTGTGCAGTTTTGTGAGGAAGAAACTGTTACCTGAATCCTCCCTCTTAATAACTGCTCGGCCTACAGCCATGAAGAAGCTCCACTCTCTGTTAAGACAACCTATCCAGGCAGAGATCTTATGGTTTACAAGTGCTGAAAAGAGAGCGTATTTCTTGAGTCAGTTTTCAGGTGTTAAAACAGCAATGAAACTCTTTTATGGTCTGCGAGAAAATGAAGGCCTTGACGTTATGTCCTCTCTTCCCATTGTCTCCTGGATGATATGCAGTGTCCTGAAGTCACAAGGAGATGGTGACAGGCCCCTTTTGAGGTCACTTCAGACCATGACTGATGTGTATCTATTCTACTTTTCCAAGTGCCTCAGAACCCTTACAGACGTCGGAGTGTGGAAAGGACAAAATTGCCTGTGGGGCCTTTGCTGTTTGGCTGCAGAAGCACTGCAGAGCCGCCAGGTGCTCTTTGCAGCCAGTGACCTCAGACGACATGGGATAGGAGTATGTGACAGCAGCTATACTTTTCTCAGTCACTTTTTGAAAAAAGCTGACGATATCAATGCCTACACCTTCCTTCACTTCAGCTTCCAGGAGTTTTTAACTGCCGTGTTCTATGTCCTGAAGAATGACAACAAATGGATGTATTTAAGTCAGGTGGGGAAGGCATGGCATGAAATATTCCAACGCTATGGAAAAGGTTTCTCATCACTAACGATACGGTTCTTATTTGGTCTCTTACGCAAAGGCAAAGGAAAGATTATGGAAACTACTTTTGGAAGAAAAATCTCTCCGGGACTTCGAGAGGAGTTACTGAAGTGGACTGAGAGGGAGATAAAGGATAAGTCTTCTAGGTTACAGATTGAGCCAGTGGACTTGTTTCACTGCTTGTATGAGATTCGGGAAGAAGAATATTCAAGAAGGATAATGGATGATTTACAGTCAGTTATACTGCTTCAGCCTACCTATACAAAAATGGACATTCTGGCCATGTCCTTCTGTGTAAAAAGCAGTCACAATCACTTGTCGGTGACTCTGAAGTGTCAGCACCTGCCTGGATTTGAAGAGGAAGAGCCAGCCTCATCATTTGTGCCGTCGAAACATGTTGAGTGAGTGTATGCCTGTCTGTTCTCTAGTTTATGACCTTCACAATGGGCCTAATTGGTTATTTTATATGTTTAAGCACATGATGATTTCTAGCATTGTCAGTAAATAAAAGTAAGAAGTCAACATCTCAACTTCTCATATTTTATGTCAATCAGTAAAATAATGATTTATTATTGAGAATCTATTATGTTCCAGGGTCTATACTAGCCACTAGAAGCGTCCATGCCTTCAGTCACTGTGTAGACGTGCTTTATGATTATATTAAGTGTTCTGAGCACGTAATGTCTCAGTGTTATCACTGAGGATTCTGCTGTTTTGATACAGACGATCATTTTGGAAAAGAGTGTAAACCTAACACTGGATTGATTCTCACTATACATATACTTCATCACTGAGGCCTCAAAGAGCTTCAGATTACTAAGGGGCAGAACTACAGTTCTGTGTATCTTGCTGTAAAGCCTGGGCTAGAGCCAAAATTCAAAGAGGCTTAGGTTAAGCCATTTTTATAATATAGATTCTGTATACTATTAAGTACGGTTCTATTGACTTATCAACTAAAGCAGCAAAGAAGACTTATACCTGTTCTCAGCATTTGGGTTTGCCTCTCCCATAGTTTGGGGGTCAGCTGATGGGTAGGGGACCCTGAGGATAGGAGAGTGAGCAAATGGCTCTATTTGAGGAAGTTAAAGCAAGTCTTTTTTTAAAAAATTATTTATTTATTTTTAGAGACAGGGTCTTGCTCTGTCACCCAGGATGGAGTGCAGTGCTAAGAATACAGGTGTGAGCCACCACACCAGGCCTAACCAAGTATTCTCTTACAGTTCTATTTCTACAGTGGACAATAGCGTAGAGGTGGAAATAAGCTTGTGATATGTGTGTTTGAAGGAAGTAGGGATGGGAGGAAGGTGAAGCAAGAGTTTATGTTTGAAACTAGAGGGGGAAGGGGTAGGAGAGCTATTAAATGGACTAAGAATTATGAAAAATCTTGGCACAAGGTCTTGACCAGTTAATGACAGCTTCAATTCAGCCATATAATTATAAAGTAAAACAATGGACTAATCCATTTGAAAGAGTTTGAAACATTAATGGACACGTAAAGGGGCTTCTGGTTTATTCTGGGTTTATAGACAATCAGCTATCGATTGAGTCACCACCCCTAACTTTTATTCCCTGTATCAGAATGCTTAAACTCTTTTTTTTTTTTTTTGAGACAGAGCCTCAAGCTGAGCCCTTGGGTAGAGCGCTGTGGCTTCACTGCTCACAGCAACCTCCAACTCCTGGGCTCAAGTGAGTCTCCTGCCTCAGCCTCCCAAGTAGCTGGGACCACAGGTGCCCGCCACAATGCCTGGCTATTTTTTGGTTGCAGCCATTATTGTTGTTTGGTGGGCCTGGGATGGATTCGAACCCACCACCTTAGGTGTATGTGGCTGGCGCCTTAGCCGCTTGAGCCACAAAAATTAAACCCCCAAATACTCCTTTCCCAAACATCTTGTCTAAGTGAGGGTTTACTACTGAACCTTCCTAGTTTTCAATTACAGACAGTCCCCAAGCTACAACATTCAACTTACATACAACTCACACTTACAAATGGAGTCTATTACAGTAAGTCCCCAAGTTACAAACCAACTGGCATATGACTCACACTTATGAACATGGGCTATACAGGTAATAGGTAAATGTACCTGTTCCAACTTAAATACAAATTCAACTTAAAAACAAACCTGCGGAGCCTATCTCACTTGTAACCCAGGGACTGCCTGTATTATTATTAATTCTTCTATTAGTACTGATAACCAAAAATGAGTTATACTGTAAAAGTAGCTTGGTAATGACACTTGATCTCTCAGAGCTTCTGCAAAATGGTGATTACTATACCTGGCATGGGGTTAAGGGCCAGATAAGATAATTTGTGTATAAAAAGTGCGTACCTAGGTGTTTGGCGCATAGTAACATGGCTCTGGAGTCAGATCTGAGTAATGACCTCTGTGTGACCTTGAGCAAAGTACTTAATTGTTTGTGCTTTAATTTCCTTTTCTGCAAAAATGGGATAATATTGCTTAGGGTTTTTGGAAGAGGTAAATTAGTACTAACATGGTGACAAAAGCCACAATAAGCCATTTACTTAAAGTTTTCATTTAAATTATTTTTGTTTTCTCAGCTCTTTTAGGTCCGTTGAGCTGCCCGACTTGCCCGTGTCTCAGTTACACTTGCTCTGCCAAGCACTGCGTAACCCATACTGTAAAATCAAAGATCTGAAGTAAGTTGAACTTTTAAACTTTTAGGTATTTGCAGGTAACAACTGGGTTGCTAGAAATTGCACTTCTAGGTGGTTGGGCCTGAAAACAAAGTATAACTCGTGCTTAGCCTCTCCAGAAAGATATGCTACAAGCCTAGAAGGGGAAGGAAGGAGTCCCAGATCTCGGCCCACATTCCCTGCCTTTTCCCCTTTCACATGTGCTATTTCTGCTGTAATGAGTAGATGGCAGGTTCTAACACCCAAGAGATTTGTGTCTGGTGCCCCTCCTAGATCTACCCCCTTTCCTTTTCCCTCCGGACACCCACTGGTCCCCCTCGTTTTCTTTCAGTTGTATCCTATCTTACTTTTTGCTGCTTGATGATTCTTTATCTCCCTTGACTCTTCACCTTCACCCCCCTCCAGTTATTCCCCAAGGTAGGCCTCTGTCCTCACTCACTCTGGGGTGCTTTATCTACATCACCCACAGGGAGCCCGCTTGTTCCCTACCCTCTGCCTTTGCTATGTAGATCAGTGTTTGCTCTCCTACCCTCCTGTCCCAGAAGAAAAGGTGGTCCTTCCAAACCCACCCAAACCAGTAAATTCACTTCCTTTTATTTTTTGCATTTTCGTGAACATTTATTTTACTCTCACAACATATTAGATATACAGAAATCAAAGCCTATCCATTTAGTTTCCCCGTATCCCATACCCCCCAGTTTCCCCTCCCCTGACCCTGACCACACCCTTTGTAGGTAATACCTTGTTTGCTAAATGTCTTCAGATCTTTTTCTATGTTTACTAAAATATAAATCTGTAAGTACATATAGGATACATACACCCTTACAGAACTTTTGGGGGTTTTGTTTTACAAAAGAAAAAAGACATGGGGGCAGCCCCTGAGGCTCAAAGGAGTAGGATGCTGGCCCCATATGCTGGAGGTGGCAGATTCAAACTCAGCCCTGGCCAAAAACTGCAAAAAACAAAAACAAAAACAAAAACAAAAACAAAAAAACAAAAAAAACCCCGACATGACCTTATCATATGACTTTTTTCTTTAATACAGTGGCCACGCCCCCAGTACAATAGGCAGCTCTGTCCCATAGTTCTGTTTTCAAGCTTTTTCTAGCTATCCTTCTTCCCCATGGCTAAAATTTCTCCCATACTCAAAAGAAACCTCTCTCAACTTTATATTTCTACTTCATTCCTTCCTTTCAAAGCCAAGAGTCCTTGAAGAAGAGCTGCTCCTCGCTGACTCTTTCTTGTTTCTTACTCACTCCTGACTCCTACAGTTTGGCTTCTGCCCCCGGCACTATCCTCTATTTGCTCTAAGATCGGAACACCAGATCTAATGGCCCCATTTCAGCTTCTATCCTAGAGGCCCCTACTCCCTGACCTTTTTTTCCTTTTGATTCTTCCCCTGTTCTGACTGTGCTTAAGTACCTCATTGCCTCTCTGGTTCCCACCAGGGATGATTTTGACCTCTAGTGGACATGTGGCAATATCTGGAAACATTTTTGGTCATCACAACTGGGTGTGTGAGAAAAGGTGCTCCTGACATTGAATGGGTAGAGGCTAGGGATTCTGCTAAACATCCTACAATGCACTGGACGGTGCCCTGCAACAAAGAATTATCCAATTTCAAATGTCAAGAGTACTGAGTTTATGAAACTCTGTCCTAGAGAGATATAAATAAGCCCAGATATTCTGAAAAGTTCAGGCTAGGGATCTGGCCCCCAATCCTGATGATTGTCCATGCCCTCTCTAATAGGAGACAACCAGTTACTGTAGACATGTCCCAGGGCCAAGGCAGTCTCTAGGTCCACGGGTCCTGGACAATGTCCAAGGCTCTTCCAGTTGTGACTCGGTCTTGTCCAGGTGTAACTCCTCCCCGTCTTTCCACCTATGGGATAAACCATACATTTAGACACCATTAGCACAGCTTATAGTTACTAGAGGAAGAGAAGCTAACCCACCTCTCACCCAGCCCTTACCTTCCCCACCCGCTCCCCTCCTTCTAGAAGTTGATTTCCCAAGGGGTATGTCTTTATTGTATTTCCTATTTCTCAATCACCGAACCAGATTCCCCTCCCACATTTATCATGGTGGTAGGTAGGGAGACAGACTCTGTCAAGGTGACACCATACTTTGGCCCATGGTCCAGACCAGGAAACCCTCTGGGCACTGTCAGTTTGTGACTTACCTCCCTGGTAGTGGCGGGGGCTCCCTGTTCAGTTTTGATTGTCCCAGGTCCTACCCACTGGAAATTGGGGTGGATTCTGTCACAGCACTGCAGTCACAGGAGTCCTCGCCTGCAGCTAGTGCTGGCATCCTCTGTACGGGGCCCTGAGGGATTCCCTTACGGGTGGCAAATCTCTGCTGTGTTGATTTGCGTCAGCATGAACCTGAGGTAATACTGGGCCTGTTTTGAATGTTTCTTGTGATATAACTCCCTTAACAGGAATGAGCTTCCCAACTAGTTCATTCCTGGAAACTTGGAATGCAGGAATCCCCTCTACTCTCCGTAACCTGATGCAAGTCCCCAGCCAGTTCCAACATTTTCCTTTGATGAGCTTTCATTAGAAATTGCTCTTCTGGTACCGATTTCTGACTTGGAAATAATCTGGTTGCCCAGAACAGAAACCCAGTCAAGTTAGCTTAGAGAAAAGGGGGTCTACGTAAAGTGGATCTTCAGGCAGCACAACTGCAGGAAGTAAAAAGTGGTTAGGCACTACCACTCTCTCAATCTCTCTGGAGTCACAGAATGAACTCCTCTGTACCTGTCTGCTGCCTGGAACCTCATACTGGAGTCCTGTAAAAGATAATTGTTTCTGGAAAGAGCCAGTTCTGTTCCCTGCAGCCAACGCTAGTTCTTCTATGGCATTAGTGTCCGTGGCTTTGACCCTGGCTCTAACTCCAAGTGACTCATTGCTTCATTGCCGAAAACCATCCTGTCTAGAATCTGCCTCTCTGTTCAGATTCTCTAGTGTGAAAATCCATTAGGCTCTGGATGGGTCAAATGTCCATTCCTGTTCCAGTCATCTAAGGCCTGGGTGGGGTGTTATACACACAGTGGCCATAAAGTTCATGTGTGCAATAGACTATTATAAATTGAACACATGGACGTTATGGCCTCCCCATACATAGCTGCCCATGTCCACCAGACGCTAGGGTGAGGAAGAGAGACACATACATACACACATACAAATAAATAGAAGCGGCAGCGGTTCTGTCGGTGTTGAATGCTAATGCTCTGGAATACAAAGGGGGGTCATCATAACATGTATCTTCTCTACACACTCCCCTTCTCCCACCCCCTTTGCCCCATCCTCCCACTTATCCCCTTATCCCCACTTCACCCAGCCCCTTCCCCACCTCTCCCCCTCTTTTCCCACCCCTCCCCCCTTTCCCTCTGAAAATCGATTTTCCATTGGGTTCTATTTCCCTTCTATTTCACATTTCTGAATTCACTGAGGGCTCTGAAGCCAGATTCCTTTCCCACAGCGGTAGCAAATTTCCCTTCTTGAAAAATTCACGGCTTTACACCAAGGGCAGTCCCAGTCTCCAGGCCTGCGGAATATTGGAGGTCTTCTCTGCTGCTGGGGTTCGTGGTCTCTCCTCTCTCTTTGGAGTTCTTCAGAATCCGTTCCCTGCTCTCCTACATCAGACCACATGCTAGTATTACAGGCCCCCCAGTTGGGAGGCCAGTGGGGTGGATTTGGTACTGTGGCTGGTACTGTCGGTGGGGATGGACTGGGTCCCTCTGAGAAGGAGGACAAAGGGCATGAGTATGAGTATGTGAATGAGGCAGGGAGCTGGACAGGAAGGGGCTCCAGTGAGGCGGTGGCCTGGGGCTCCTGTATCCCACAGAAAGGATACGAGGCTGTTGCCACCGACCTGAGATCTCCCTCCCTCTGCCCCCCAACTCCCAGGTACTGCAGGAAGCCTCCATCCAGCTCCTGGGGGGCCTCTGTGGAGAAAGCCCCTGCCTCCGCGTCCCTTTCCTCTTCTCCTCCTTCAGCATCACCAGCAGCAACAGCAGCGGCAATAATTGCCCTGGTCCACGCTCTCGCATCCTCTTCCTTCTCACCTGCTCTGTAGGTCTCAGCCCGGCTGGCTGCAACTACAGCCTGCTCCTGCTGTCTGGAATACCCTAGCTCCTGGAGAGAAGGGGGTAGGGCTGAGACCTGTTCTGTGGCAGGAAGGGGGCGGGTCAGGGGATAAGGGCCGGGGCCAGTCTGGAATCTTACAGCTTGGAGGAGCTTCCACCTCAGCAGGTCCCGCTCTTTCTGCACCTCAGTTAGGCTGTTCTGGACCATCTGCAATTGGAAGGCCGCATCCCTGTGCTCCATCTCCTTCTGTATCGTAAGCTCCCTCAGGTCTGAGGCCAAGGCCTGCGCAGCCGACTTGTGCAGTTTGGCGAAGTCACGGAGCCACTGCACCCTGCGCGCTTGTAACTGCTCCTGTCTGTGGGCGAAGCGCACACCCAGGGCCAGTGTGCCCCAGGTGCAAGCCTCCTTGGCCTGGCTGGGCACCTCACTGTCCTCCAGGATGGTACTGAGCTTGTCTTCTACCTCCTCCCAGGACAGGGCCATATTGTTTTGGTAGAACTCAAGGCCTTTCACGTGCCCAGCCATCTTCTCATTGATGAAGGCCATCACCCTGTCGTGTTGGAACCCACCACAGGGGTCGTCAGGGCTCAGGGCCATGATGGTCTAGGGCCTTAATGGTTTCGGTGACCCTGTCAGGGTAGATGAAATAGTAGAGCCCGCGCCCCTCCTTTAGGCCCTCCCCCTTCAGTCTCTGCCCATTTCCTTGCCCTCCCCTTCTCCCTCTCCCTCAGCCACTCATTATGACCCCTTGATGGTTTGCCCCGCCTTAAGTCACCTCCCCACTCCACCGCCCCACCCCACCGCTCCTCACTTCTTTAGCGAGGGGCCAGAGGAAGTACAGACCAGCCACACCCGCCCATCAGGCCCAGAGTTGGAATTGGGCCCCTCTCTCTCCCAGGCCTCCAGGGAAAAGAAAGGTTGAGGTTAAACCTCAAGGCTTTTACTCTCGGACTGTTCCAAGTTCCAGAGACTGTGGGGGTGGGAAGGAGCGAGTGAGGAAGGCCCATCCTCTCTACAGGGTGGAAGAAAGCACACCACATGACTGAAAGGTCTCAAAGGCAAAAAGAAATAGGAGTGGTCAGAAAAGACTGAGAACCAAGAAAGTGAAGGTCTTGTAATCAAGCCATCAAGTCAAAAATGTCCTACCCACCCCCCCTACCACATGGTTTGTCCCATGCCAGGGGCCTCCCACCTAGGTATGGAACATTCTAGAAGAGGAAATAGCCCCACCCTCTTCGTGGTTTCTGGGTAATTCTGGAGGAAGAGGGTGGAGCCAGAGGTCGAGTCTCATACCATATTGGCTGCAGTCAGACCAACCTGGTCGCTCTAAATGGGTATAAACCTAGCGCGTCCCAACTAAAACGGTCTTGAATCTATCCACTTCCGCCCAACTCCTAGGTCAGTTCCCCTCATTTATTCCCCCACCGTTGCAGCTTCTGACATCAAGTCAGCCTCCTGCCCTACACCATTACCAGAAGGAAACTGAATATATCTTTTAAAATTTTCAATAGTTTTCTGAAATCTATAAGGTAGACCAGAAAGATCTCTGGTTAAGTTCTGCTTTACTACTTGTCATATGACTATGTTGTACTATAACTGAATCTCAATTTTTACATATGGGTCTGTGATCAGGACTGAATGATAAAAGAGGACTGAATGATAAAAGTGCACGTAAAGTTGAAGTGCTTTCTATTATCGCATTTTTGTAAAATGTACGCAAAATGGTGTGTGTGTGTGGGTGTGTGTGTGTGTGTATGTTTCTATAATCTTGTAGAACAGAGTGGACAAGGATATATTCACCAGACGCTTAACATTCTTTATCTTTGGGAGTTGGGGTTGAACTGGAGGTTAGGAAAAAGTTTTTAACTTCTTTTTTTTTTTTTTTTTTTTTTTGAGACAGAGCCTCAAGCTGTCCCCCTGGGTAGAGTGCCGTGGCATTACAGCTCACAGCAACCTCCAACTCCTGGGCTCAAGCGAGTCTCCTGCCTCAGCCTCCCAAGTAGCTGGGACCACAGGCGCCCGCCACAACGCCTGGCTATTTTTTGGTTGCAGCCGTCATTGTTGTTTGGCGGGTCTGGGCTGGGGATTCGAACCCGCCACCTTAGGTGTACGTGGCTGGCGCCTTAGCCAGTTGAGCTATAGGCGCCGAGCCGTTTTTAACTTCTTAAAATACACCTTTCTCTGACTTCGTTTGTTATTAAGAGCATAGAACTATATGTATACAAGTATTAACAATCTGGAAAATTATATACTAACATTTTAACAGTGGTTATTGTTGGGTGGTAGAGATACAATACTTAAAAAGCTTTATTCTTTATATATTTCTCTATTGCAAAGTTGTTTATAATAAACATGTTTTTTTTCAAATTTAAAAAATACACTGTTGGCCAGGCGTGGGGCTCATGCCTGTAATTCTAGCACTCTGGGAGGCTGAAGCAGGAGAATCCCTTGAGCTGAGGAGTTCAAGATCAGCTCCAGCAAGAACAATATCAGAAACAAACAAAAAAAATTAGCCAAGTGTCGTGGCGGGTGCCTGTAGTCCCAGCTACTTGGGAGGCTGAAGCAGGAGGATCACTTGAACCCTGGAGGTTGAGTGTGCTGTGAGCCAGGTTGATGCCACAGCATTTTCAAGAGTCTTTTTTTAAAAAAAACTCTGTCTAAAAGATAAATACATTGTTTTCCCAGTAACATCTGCTCATTATAAATGTTTTTTTTTTTTTTTAATGTACTTGGAAAGTGCATGTCTTTTTATAATTTCACTCTAACCCCAGCCTGGGAGATAACCATCGTTAACAATCTGATATATATCTTTCCAGGCTTTTAAAATAAGTCATAACAAATAATTTGCAGTTTCTCAAATGAAGCATCTTCTCTCTTGCCTCCTGGTCCTTGCACAGGCTGCTCCGTGCATGGATTGCCTCTCAGGCCCTCCTGCTTTCTCCCTTCCCATTCTCCTCATCCACATAACTCCTATTCAATTTCTGTTCACCTTTCATGGCAACACTGAAGCATTCCTTCCTTTCTAAGTATTTTTTAATCTTCCAAACTCCACCTCAAGCTGGGCTGAACTGCGTGATCTTTCCATGTCCCCATAATACCTTGTGCATACATGCCTATTGCAGTATTTCTCACGCTATGTTATGACCCATGATTTTTATTCTTTTTCCCTATTGACTTGGCATTCCTTGAGGGCATTGTCTGTGCCTTAATTATCTCTGTCTTTTCAGCATGTAGTATAGTGGTAAGCACTGAATAAATTAATTGTCAAATGAATCGAAATAATTTATTATACCACAGTAAGGTGCAAACAAATGCCTTTAAAGAGAGCCCTCCCTATATTCTTTCCCTGAAAAACATGTTTTTCTCCACACAGACTGATTTTCTGTCACCTCACAGCTTCTTGTGGTAGGGACCTCTCTTCAGTATTTGAAAGCAACCAACATCTGACATGTTTGGAGTTTGTAAAAAATACCCTGGAAGTTTCAGGAATGAAGCTTCTGTGTGAAGGATTGAAACAACCCAACTGTCTGTTAAAGACATTAAGGTAACCGATAACAGGGAAATTTGTTGTTTATGTGCATATCAGGGTTTTTTTTTTTTTTGTCATTTTCTATTTCTGTAGGAAAAGAGCATGAATAAGGTAATGACATTATTCTTCTGTTCTCTAAAGGTTGTACAGGTGCCTTATCTCTCCTGCTTGCTGTGGTGCTCTAGCTGCTGTTTTTAGCACTAGTGAGTGGCTCACTGAGCTGGAATTTAATGAAACAAAACTGGAAGTTTCAGCTTTAACATTGCTCTGTGAAGGCTTGAAAGATCCAAATTGCAGATTACAGAAGCTCAAGTACGTTGTAACTGTTGTAAACATCTACTTTGAAAACTCACTTTGTGCAAAGTGCCTCTACTTAAAATTTCTACCTTGGGGATATAAATACATCTCATTATGAGTTCTCGTCAAGACTGAGTCCGGTAAATCAAGAAAAAAATTAAAGATTCAAAGATTATAGTGTATGTCTAGAAAGTCTTGAAAGTGATGGAAGAAAAAGTTAAAGGGACATGGTTCACAGAATTGGACTGCTTAATAGGAATAAACAAAGATTGAGAAGACAGGGGAGTCATAAATAAAATCGCTATTTGTGCCAAAGAAAGAATATTATATGGATGATGGTGATGGGCTGGTCTCTCTGTAAGGATGGCAAATTAATAAATTAATGACATTTAGATAAGAGGAAAAGAAGGACCATTTGGCTGTAAAGCTTACAAAAGATGATTATAGAATTTTTCCCCTGGGATTTGAAAGAAGACATAAGATAGAGGATTAAATTCGTATAAGGGTTTAACATGAGATTATATCAGCCTGGCACAGTGGCTCACGCCTGTAATTCCAGCACTCTGGGTGGCTGAGGTGGGTGTATTGCTTGCGCTCAGGAGTTCAAGACCAGCCTGAGCCAGAGTGAGACCCCATTTCTAAAACATAGCCGGGCATTGTGGTGGGTGCCTGTAGGCCCAGCTACCAGGGAGGCTCAGGCAAGAGAAGTGCTTTGAGCCCAAGAGTTTGAGGTTGCTGTGAGCTGTGACGCCATGGCACTCTACGGAGGGCAACAAAATAAGACTCTGTCTCAAAAAAAAAAGAGTGATCATATCATTATATCATCTTAATATTTCCTCCCAAACCTTTTCTCAGGAAGTCAACATTTATTGAGTTTCCACTGTGGGACACATTGTTTTAGAAGCATTGTGTGAGTCCTTGCCATGGGGAAAAAGGGGCTGTAACATGGTCAAGATTGGGGGGCTTGTATCTCTGGGTCTTTATTTTCTCTGCTTATGCAGTATTGTGGATAGGGAGTGACCAGTACGCTAAAAAGTGGCCAATTCTGTCTCCATACATTGTTCCCTCCAGGTTGTGTGCTAGTTTTCTCCCAGAGAACTCAGAAGCTGTTTGCAAGTGTCTTGCCTCTGTCGTCATTTGCAACCCAAACCTCACTGAGCTTGACCTGAGTGAAAATCCCTTGGGGGACATTGGAGTGAAATATCTCTGTGAAGGTCTCAAGCATTCTGACTGCAAAGTGGAGAAACTCGAGTAAGTTTCTTAGAACTATCTTGTACCATCTTATGACTGTTGAACTTGTTCAGTGACTGCTCTGTGCTTGGTACTTGCCAGAAGTTACCTCACTTTATTCACTTCTTACAATAACCATGTAAGGTTGGTTTTCTTATACCCATTGTACAGATGAGAAAATTAAGGGATTAGGGGAAAAGTGACTTGTCCAAAGTCACATTGCTAATAAGTCAGGATGTGACTCTAAAACCCGTCTCCAAATCTTATGTTCTTTCCAATATACCAGAGCTCTATGTGTTTATAAGAATAACACTAATTATATATTAACTATATAAAGAATGCCTACTGGCCTGGAGGTGGTGGGTTCAAACCCAGCCCCGCACAAAAAACACAAAAATTTTAAAAAATGCCTACTGGCCAAGTGCGGTAGCTCACGCCTATAATCCTAACACTCTGGAGGCAAGGTGGGTGGATTGCTTGAGCTCACAGGTTCAAGACCAGCCTGAGCAAAAGCAAGACCCCATCTCTACTAAAAATAGAAAAACTGAGGGAAGAGGATCGCTTGAGCCCAACAGTTGGAGGTTGCTGTGAGCTATGACGCCATGGCACTCTACCCAGGGTGACAGTTTGAGACTGTCTCTAAAAAAAAAAAAAATTGTCTACTATGCACTCAACACTGAGCTAGATATGAATGGAGTTATCAGAAGTTTTATAAAGTGACAAGACTACCCTTAAGGACACACAAATGTGTGCCCAAATACTATAGAATCATTTGGAAATGCCAGATGAGCCCATGGAAGGTGGGTGGGGTCACTATGGGAGACTGGAGGAGGGGAGGGGGGACTATGAAGTAGGTAGGGGAGGGAAGGAGCTGAAACTTAAAGGATGGCTGGGATTTAGCTACATGGGCAGAACATTTCTAGGAAGCCAAAATGATGTCAGTGGCTGATACCTCTTTCCTTTTTCTCTGAGTAGCTTGAGCACATGTTGCCTCACAGATGCCAGCTGTGTAGAGCTCTCTTCTTGCTTGCAAGTGAGTCAGACTCTAAAGGAGCTCTTCGTGTTTGCCAATGCCGTGGGGGACACAGGAGTACAGCACCTCTGCAAAGGTCTGCAGCACCCCAAGTGTGCAATTGAGAATCTTGTGTAAGTGTTTGCTTGTCCTTCTCATGGGCCTTGGTATGTGAGGGGCAATGAGATTCTGCTGCCATAGTTAACAGCCACCTTGGTGTCCCCATCCTTCTAGGCTTTCTGAATGTTCCCTCTCTGCGGCTTGTTGTCAGCCCCTTGGCCAAGTCCTGAGAGCCAGCCAGAGCCTGACAAGGCTGCTTCTAATTAATAACAAAATTGAAGATTTGGGACTGAAATTGCTGTGTGAAGGATTAAAACAGCCTGACTGTCAGTTAAAGGATCTGGCGTAAGTATCATGGACTATAGCCACAGGCAGAGTTTCCTGATGTTTCAGCAACTCCCAAATTTAATGAGTATTTTTTGGCCTGTTGATTGAATCTCCAAGGAAGCAATAAATGAAGAACCAAATAATTTAGGGAGAATAAATCATCCTTTCTCCACAATCTCTGCCTGGCCCTGGCCCAAGGGTTTTGTTTGTTTTTTTTTTTTACATGACATTCTGATTTTCTAATGTGTTTGTGTTTTTCTAATGGGAAAACACAATTTTTAAAGTGACCTAATACAGCTGGGCACTGTGGCTCAAACCTATAATCCTAGCACTCTGGGAGCCCAAGGTAGGTGGCTAGCCTGAGCTCAGGAGTTTGAGAGACCAGCCTGAGCAAGAGTGAGAGCCCGTCTCTACTAAAAATAGAAAAACTAGCTGGATGTTGTGGCAGGTGCCTGTAGTCCCAGATACTCAGGAGGCTGAAGCAAGAAGATCACTTGAGCCCAAGAATTTGAGCTATGATGCCACAGCACTCTACCCAAGGCAACAGAGTGAGACTCTGTCTCAGGAAAAAGTGACCCAGTACAGACAAAATGCAAAATGATAGCTCTTCCTTGCTTCCTGACAGATTGTGGACTTGTCACCTAACTCCAGCATGTTGTAAGGATTTATGCAATGCACTCTACACCAATGAGAATCTGAGAGTCCTTGACCTCAGTGACAATGCCTTAGGGGATGAGGGCATGAGGGTCCTGTGTGAAGGGCTGAAGCACCCCTGCTGTAGACTACAGACCTTGTGGTAAGTGCACAAGGACCCTTTGTCTACTGGGCTTTTGTTCTAGGCTGGATATGAAAGGGAAGGCCCTGGGGAACTTGGGATAAAACTGATTCCTTTCTTGAATCTTTAATCCCTCACAGGTTAGCAGAATGTCATCTCACAGATGCTTGCTGTGGAGCCCTTGCCTCTGTCCTCAACAGAAATGAGAACCTAACATTGCTGGACTTAACTGGAAATGACCTCAGGGATTTTGGAGTGCAGATGCTGTGTGATGCACTGATTCATCCAATATGTAAACTGCAGACGTTCTAGTAAGTCACCGTGGTGGAGGAAGTGTGAGGGAAAGAGTCAGGACGGGAACGTTAGACTTGGTCATAGGCCACTGCAGTGAGGAAAGAGAAGAAAAACTAGACAGGCCAACGTTATTTTACCTTACTACTAAAGTAAGCAAAACTACCAATGGGCCTATTTTCCTTGGACACAGGAACCAGGAGAGAGGTAGAGAACAAGCAGCTCTGTATTGCACAGCCAAGGGCAGCAACATGGTATAGGAAAAAGAGCATAGGGTCTAGATTTTGCTAGGGCTAGTTCAAATCCTAGGTGTAGCATCTACTAGCTCCATGACTGTGCTTGCTTAAGTTCAGTCTGTAAAGTGGGAATAATGCTAGTACCTGACTGCCTGGTGTGGACCTGGGGATTGAATTGACATGGCAATTATAAGTCTATCTATATAACCCTTGGCACATAGGAGGTACTTCATAAATGTTAGGCTCTCTCCATTTCCACTTCTCATATATGCCAGAGGGTTTAATGTGTACATTTTGAAAGTCTTCAGGACTCAAGAGGACGAAGTTGTAATGGTGCAATTACAGAGGGTGGAGATCTTGACTCTCTCTCTGCTCAGTGTCCATCAGCCAGGTCATCAGGCTAGCATTGCTCATGAAGTAATTCTTAATCAGAATACAGCCATGCTCTTTTGGCAGCTAACCAGTGGCCAAATGACCATTGGTTTCTGGCATTCCAAATTGGAATACATAATGGAAAGTAAAGGTCGAGTGCAAAAATTCCACATTCCAAAGCCAATTTGATAGATTGAAGCATAAATGAAAACAGCATAATGACCTGATTACAAGTCTGGCTAAAACAGAACTGGTTCTTTACTAGCAAAGTGGAGTCTGTTAGTTTCAAAGGCTCAAGAGTGTGGTGATTATTGCTTAAGCAGAGGGAATGATTTACAATTTGATAAACCTCAGGGTTAGAGATCTCTATGGTTTCTTTCTCAGAAAGACATGCATGGAATCTTTATTATCAACAGGTTGAAATAAACTCAACAATCAACCTTAATGTTTCTTTAAATGTAATTTAACATGGTTGCATTCCAGAGTGTGTATGCTGCAGAAAAGGTCCAAAATAGCAGAAAGAAGAAATTATTTTGTTGGGCACAGCATGCTAATATTTGTTTTTAATTGTAGATTGTTGCACCATTTCCTATTTCTCTCAAGCTTTGTCTGTCTCTGTTTGTTTGAGATAGGATCTCACTCTGTCACCCAGGCCAGAGTGCAGTGATGCTATCATAACTCACTGCATCCTTGAACTCCTTAGCTAAAGTGATCCTCCTGCCTCAGCCTCCCAAGTAGCTGGGGTTACCGGCCTTTGCAATCATGCCTGGTTAATTTTTCTTATTTTTTGTAGGAATAGGGTCTCACTATGTTGCCCAGGCTGGTCTTGAACTCCTGGGCTCAAGTTAGCCTCCCACCTTGACCTCTCCAAGTGCTGGAATTACAGGTGTGAGTCACTACTCCTGGACCCAAGCTTTGTCTTTTTTTTTTTTTGAGTCAGAGCCTCAAGCTGTCCCCCTGGGTAGAGTGCCATGGCATCACAGCTCACAGCAACCTCCAACTCCTGGGCTCAAGCGAGTCTCCTGCCTCAGCCTCCCAAGTAGCTGGGACTACAGGCGCCCACCACAACGCCTGGCCATTTTTTGGTTGCAGCTATCATTGTTGTTTGGCGGGCCCGGCTCAGGATTCGAACCCGCCACCTTAGGTGTATGTGGCTGGCACCTTAGCCACTTGAGCCACAGGCGCCGAGCCCAAGCTTTGTCTTTTAACCAGAATGCTTCTGTTGTGTTTTCAGTCCAACTTTCAAGCCCCTGTAAAATGTCAGTCAACAGGTTGACAGCAGTGTATAAGAAGAAGTCTGAATACAAAATAAAGGACACACACACAGAGCAGACAAAATTTGCTGGCCTCAAATAAATTTTGAATGTTAGAATGTACATAAGACAAAACTGAAATCAATATAAATATATACTTACCCAAATAAGGTGAAATCAGAGATAATTTAGTGTGGTAGGCTGGAAAGAAGAGATCCTCTTAGAAGAATATCGTCTTTGAAAACTAGAAAGGCAGAAAGAAGGTTATTTTCTAAGAGCTGCTTGAGTGTGGGGTCCGTATCTTATGTCTCACCATATTTTCCCCTCTAAACTTCCTGGTACAGTGGTTTGCATATAGTAAGTACACATAGGAGATCAGTTAGTAATTTAGAACATCTGAAGGACAAGGCAAGGCAATAGTAACTAGGTAAACAGCATAGTTTATGGTACTTGATCCAGTTGTGGTTGAGGAATCTCTAGAATCTCTAGGAAGTTTGATATTGCTGGAGCATAAAGTACAAATCAGAGTGTATCAAGAAGTGAGGCTAGGGAGATAGTCAGTACCTTGTATACTACATATAGAAATGAATAAGACCTGTTAGCAGAATTCCCAGTGCAAATTCAGTCATCTCTCTCTTTTTCTCACATGCTCTAGTAGTAGAATATTTGAGGCCTCTCCTCACTCCACCTTTCCAAAACTGGCCCCAAAGATGAGGCCTAGCTTTTCTTCCAAAGCTACATGGAGGATCAGCATTATAGTTGGGCTCCAAGGTTACAGATATCTTAGTTTACACTCAAACATGCAGCTGTTACTCTGTAAAGAACCATATGTGTCAGGGTGGCTAGGTCTAGAGGAGCACCCTTAATCGGCTGCAGGTATACATGTGCTGAAGCCTGCCCTTGCCCACAAAGATTTAGGCCCTTGAATTGAGCCAGAGATACCAATTAAGCCTTCCTCTCTTGAAGGTAATTTTACACCAGGGATCTTAGTTCCTTTCCCAGGCACTAAGACTTGGTTAAAATCCTCCCTAGCTCATCTTGATACATGTCCCTAATTCCAAATTGGGAAAGAAGGGGCTGAGAGTAACCAGTCTGTTAACTCCCAGAAGACTTCTGGGTTTCCTAAGCAAGTTGACCCACTTCCTCCCCAGCACTGAGTTCTACATATCAGGAGGTAAGGGAGCTTGTGCTAAGTCATACAAAAGATTCTAAACGTCTTGTTAGACTTCTGTGTCATTTTAAATGTCCACATATCCTACAATTATAAAACTAACAGGGTCACTCATTTCACTCTGCTAGATAATTTATCTAAGATTAGGTTCTATCCATTAAAAACTAAAAACTATACATTAAGCTGCACACTTGAAAGAACTTATACTTTCTTTTACAGTTAATGAGGTTTGAATATTAAGTTTGAAATGCCTGGGGGACACGCAGGAAGTTTTCTGGTAGGTAAGCAGCTGGATATAGGAGTGTTCCCTGAGATGTGATCATCTACAGAGATGATAGCTGAAGCCATGGCATTGGATGAAATCTGCTAAGAAGACTGAGAAGGGGAAAACGTCCGAGGGATACCTCTGGGGAATAAGCCCTGGGAAATACCAATTTTTAAAGAGGTGGTTATGGAAAGGAAAACCCATGGAGAGAATAGTGTCCTAGAAGTTGAGAAAAGAAACGAATCTCAAGGAAGAAGTGCTCAATAGTATCAAATGCAGCAGGGAAGTTCAATAGGATGAGCTCTGAAAAGTGTGCATTGGATTTATTGATTAGGACATTATAGGCGACCTTGTCAAGCGCTATTTCAGTAGTCTGATGAGCCAGAAACTATACTGAATGACTTAAAAGAAAAAGAAGAGGAAGACAGCAGAGATTATGTTTTCAATAAGTTTGTGAAAAGAATAAGAATAAGAATAGCTGGAGGGTGTTGTGGGACTGGAGGAAGCAGAGAGTTCTTTCTTCTTTCTTTTTTTGTTTTTTTGAGACAGAGTCTCACTCTGTCATGCTGGATAGAGTGCCCTGGCATCAGCCTCGCTCATAGCAACCTCAAAATCTTGGGCTCAAGAGATTCTTCTGCATCAGCCTCCTGAGTAGCTGGGACTCCAGGTGCCTCCCACTACACGTGGCGAGTTTTTCTGTTTTTAGTAGAGATGGGGTCTCACTCTTGCTCAGGCTGGTCTTGAACTCCTGAGCTCAATCCACCGACCTCGGCCACCTAGAGTGCTAAGATTACAGGTGTGAGCCACCATGCCTGGTGTCTTTTTTCTTTTTTTGCCTTGTTTTGAGACAGATAAAACAAGAAAAGAAAGAAATCCACAGAGAGAAAGAGGTTGCAGTTACAGGAGTGGGAATTGATGGGCTATGGGAACAGAGTCTTGGATAAAGCAGAGGGATGGGAGTGAGAGTCTACGAGGAAGTTAAGCACTTTATTGTTTGAGACTCAAGGAAAAGAGCTAAGGCTCGGGGAGGAGGTAGATAACCAAGTGGATGAAATAACTCAGTGGTGCCATGGATGAAATGTGAATCTTATTCTTGAGAACAGGAAAGCTACTGCAGGCATCTCTTGCTTGACTTAACGCAAGATTTTTTTTCCTTTTCACAGCATTGACACGGATAATTTGTCTGAAGATACATTTAGAAAGATGGAAGTGATAAAAATGAGCAAGCCTGGAATCATCTGGTAATTTCCAGAGAAAGTCCCTGACCAGTCTGCATATACATCCCTCCCCCCAATCTGGCACTATCTTTAACAGTTGTGCAGTATTATTCTTCCAAACTGTTAACCTTTGCTGAGATTACTAGTGCGGCACAAGCAGCAATGATTGCAATTATTACGTAGAACCATCCGCTAAGTAGGATGTAAAGACAGAAGCACCTTAGTTCAAATGCCTTCAGCAATAATACCTTACACTATATATCAGGTTACAATGTTTACTATGCTTTGATAAGAGCCCTCAAAGGTGGGAAGATGAGGCTCAGGGAGACTGTGACTAACTCCAGGTCACGTAACTCACTGAGGAAGAGTTGGGACTGAAATCCAACCAGGTCTTCCAACATCCAGACCATGCAGGGAAACAATAGAAAAAAACACACATGAATGAGTACACTTAAAGAAACATGATACTTGAAGTGATTAAAGGATAAGCGCTTATGCAAATATATATCGTATGGTGCTGATTTGAAATAAACTTGTAATTCACAAAAGAGAGAGGAGTAAGATAGCTTCCTAGGGAAAGGCTTCATCGAGGAAGTGAGATGGTGTGGGCCTAAAGAATGAGTAGGCTTGAGATAGGTGAAGACAGTGGTGGTCACTGGCTTTAAGACTGCAGGAGAACAGAGTTGTGTTTGTGAGCAGCTCACCTAAAGAGCACAGGGAGAGAGAAATGCTTATAGTACTATTTTTTTGAGCTGATACAATAGCCATACTTCCAGGCTCCTGAGGGTGCTCTCCAGTTCCCAGTCTCAGCTGCCTTCCTGAACTTTCACTAACACCCCAACGTGTTTGTACTTGTTCCTGGGTTCCGGAGACTGACTCACCCCGACCGCATCTTGCATAGCCTAGCATGGATCCTACAGAAGTCCCGGTTTCGAGCTCTGCCTAGCTACCACAAAACACCATGTGGAGTAAGTGAGCGTGGAGAAAGGGAGTGCCAGGCAAGAAAATAGCATACAGTCCGTGAAATGGACATGAACGTGATGTGGTAGGGTGACCTCGTGAAAGTGTGGAGTTATCTTTGGCAGCTCTAACTAGCTGTGTGACCCTGAAAAAGTCACTTGGATTCCTGGAACCTCAGTTTTCTTATGTATAAAATGGGGATAAAGTGACATTGACCTTGCAAGACTATTTGCCAGCACAGTGCCTATGCCACAGTAGTCACCAGTTAATTATAGCTGCGTGAGTGTGTATCTGTAGTATCACTCAGCTGTATAGTCTCTGATCGCCTACGTTTTCTTGCTGCGTAGTAGTGTGAACTGCACATTTGAGCTAAATGCATATGCTAGAGGCAGTGAATCTAGTGACCGAAGAGACATACAGGGAGATGTTATTGCAGAGACGAGCCCGGCCACTCCATGTCTTCATCCATCATCTTTTCTTTTCTCCTGTCACCCTGGGAAATACTAAGGAGAGTGGGTCTGTCCTGCGAAGAATGGTCAAAATAGCACTTTGCCTTCAGTTTTTGCAAGTTCTTCTTTCTTTTTAGTTATTTAACACCTATTTATTTAACATTTATTATGTGCCAGGTTTTCTGATAAGTTTCGGCTTAATACAAATGAATTCTGTTTCTTTCCATGCACTTCCCCTACCACGTTCTCTGCTCCAGTTTCTCTGTCAGCCTGGTAAACATCTGGTAAAACGCAGTCACATTAAGAACTCAAAGATATAATGTTAAATGAAAAATTGCAGAACTCTGTGTATATCCAGTTTGTGTACAAAAGGCTATACATGCATGTGCATGTGTGTGTCAAGACAGTCTATGGAAGGATGTACACATATACAAGAAACTGCTAACGGTGATTGCATCTGGCAAGAGGAATTTGGCAAGCAGGAGTGGTAGGGAAAAGAGGAAAGGGACTTTCCATCTATAGCCACCCATTTTACTAATGTTTTTACCATGTGCATGTATTACTTTTACAACTAATAAACTTGATGCTAAAAATAAAACTCAATCATACTCACGCGTTATTTTTCTTCTTTAGAAACACAGTTATCTAGAAAAAAACACAGGGTGGGTATTTATAAGCATGACATACAGACCCAAAGGAAAAGAATAAAAGATTTGATAACATCAAAGTTAAAAACATCTTTTATTTATTGTTTGGGATTCATTGAAGGTACAAAGAATTAGGTTACACTGATTGCATTTGTTAAATAAAGTCCCTCTTATAATTGTGTCCCGCCCTCAAGAGGTGTGCCATCCACCATAAACCCATCGCCCTCCCTTCGCCCCCTCCCTGCTCCCTCATTCCCCTACTCCCCACCGTTTATTAGCTCATCTACTGCCTTCATATTAGAATTGAGTACTTTGGATTCTTGCTTCTCCATTCTTGTGATGTTTTACTAAGAAGAATGTGTTCCCCCTCCATCCAGGTTAATACAAAAGACGTAAAGCCTCCATTTTTTTTTTTTTTTTTTGAGACAGAGTCCCACTACGTCGCTGTTGGTAGAGTGTCTTGGCATTACAGCTCACAGCAACCTCAAACTCTTGGGCTTAAGAGATTCCCTTGCCTCAGCCTCCCGAGTAGCTGGGATTACAGGCACCCATCACAACACCCAGCTAGTTTCTGATGGTAGTCGTCATTGTTGTTTAGCAGGCCCTGGAGGGGTTTGAACCTGCCGGCTCCAGTGTATGAGGCCAGCACCCTAACTGCTGAGCTACAGGCACCGAGCACCATATTTTTTTCTTTTTGGAATTATAGGTGCCTGCCACAACTCCTGGTTATATGTATTTTTAATTGTTTCAGGTTCATTGAGGGTATAAAGAAGGTTGCACTGATCACATTTGTTAAAGTCCTTATAATTGTGTCCCAGCCCCCAAGAGGTGTGCCATACACCTTAACCCTGATCCCCTTTTCCCACTCCCTCATTCCCCTACCCCACCCCTTGAATTAGCTCATCCTACTGCCTTCATATTAGCATTGAATACATTGGATTCTTACTTCTCCATTCTTGTGACACTTTACTAAGAGTAATGTGTGTTTAGTATCCTGAGACAGTACTGTACTTTTTGATCACTTCCAGGAGTCCTGTGGTTGAGCCTTTGGGGTTCTCTAACTGTAAGATCATCTAATCAGTGAAGAGTGAGAGTTTGACCTCCTCTGCCTCCATTTGGATGACCTTTATTTCCTTCTCTTGCCTGGTTGTATTGGCTAGAACTTTCAGCACTATGCTGAATAGTAGTGGTGATAGAGGACAACTTTGTCTGGTTCCAGTTCTAAGTGGAAAAGCTTTCAGTTTTACTCCATTCAGTATAATATTAGCTGTGGGTTTGTCATAGATAGCTTAGATCAGTTTAAGAAATGTGCCACCTATGCCTATGTTCTTAAGTGTTCTAATTAGAAAAAGATGCTGAATTTTACCAAATGCTTTCTCTGCATCTATTGAGATGGTCATATGGTCTTTGTTTTTGTTTCTGTAGATATGGTGAATTACATTTATGGATGTGCATATATATTAAACCAGCCTTGCATCCTGGGATGAAACCTACTTGATCATGATGTATAATTATTTTAATGTGTAGCTGTAATCTATTGCCTACGATTTTCTTTTTGTGGTCTTTTCTTTTTTTTTTTTATTAAATCATAGCTGTGTACATTAATGCAGTCATGGGGTACAATGTGCTGGTTTTATATACAATTTAAAATATTTTCATCAAACTGGTTAACATAGCCTTTATGGCATTTTCTTAGTTATTGTGTTAAGCCATTTATATTTCACATTTAGTAAGTTTCACATGTATCCTTGTAAGATACACCGTAGGTGTAGTCTCACCAATTACCCTCCCTTCTGCCATCCTCCCCCTATTGCCTAGGATTTTATTGAGAATTTTTGCATCTATATTCATTAGTGAAATTGGTCTGAAGTTCTCCTTTTTAGTTGGGCCTTTTACTGGTTTGGGTATCAGGGTGATGTTTGCTTTGTAGAATGTGTTGGGGACAATTCCTTCCTTCTCAATTTCTTGGAATAATTTCTGCAGTATGGGAATAAGCTCTTCTTTGAAGGTTTGATAGAATTCTGGTGTGAAGCCATCTGGACCAGGACATTTGTGTGTGTGTGGGGGGGGGGATTTTTTATTGTTTCTTCGATCTCAGTACTTGAAAACAGTCTGTTCAAAAGATCTATTTTTTTTCATGAGTAAGTCTAGGGAGAGGACGTGATTCTGGATATTGATCCATTTCCTCCACATTGTCAAATTTCTGGACAGAGTTTCTTGTAGTACTCAGAGATAATCTCTTGTATCTCTGTGGCATCTGTTGTTATTTACCCTTTACTGAGTGGGTTGGGCTTGGCTTGCTGCATGCCAAGATGGCTTAAAAGTCTGACAAGGAGGTGAAGCACTACACCCTAGAGGAGGTTTAGAAGCACAACCACAGCAAAAACACCTCACTGGTCCTGCACCACAAGGTGTACAGCTTGCCCAAATTTCTGGAAAAGCATCATGATGGGGAATAAGTACTAAAAGTAAAATCTGGAGGTGATGCTCCCCCAAACGTTGAGGATATTGGGTACTCTATGAATGCTTGGGAATTGTTCAAAACATATAGTATTGGGGAACTTCATCCAGATGACATATCAAAATTAACCAAGCTTTCAGAAACTCTTATTACTACTGTTGATTCTAATTCCAGTTGGTGGATCAACTGGGTGGTTCCTGCTGTCTCAGCACTGGTTGTAGCCCTGGTGTATTGCCTCTACATGGCAGAAGACTAAATACCTTCGCAGAAGCCAACACAAGAAATGATTGCTTTAGACAAGAAGAAAAGCCAATGTTAATAACTACCTCTACTGATAGAAACTTTCACCTGAAAAAAAATACTTTTTTGCAGATGAAAACAGACATTTATTTTGCATTTGACTTCAGTGATTCAGAGGTTTAAGGGGCTCTCTTGGGGCTGCCCCTCTGTAGCAAGTAAACCTGGCTGTGTATGGCTTGCACTGCTGCTGATTCCTGGTCCCACAAGGCCTAGGCCACACACCTAGACAGTGCCAGAGCCACAGTAGACTGAGAAGGCCACAGGCACAGTCTCAGTGGCATCAGACACTGTTTGGGCTGATTCCTGGGGTATCTCTCCTGTTTCTCAGGACAGCGAGGGTCTGGCACTCTGGTAAGTAGCTACTGGCTCACGATTGCATGACCATTACAGAAACACCAGCCCCCACCTGGTCCGGGATCCAGCCAGTTTGCTCTGGGCAGCATTGTGAGAATAGGCTCCCTTCCTTTTTGTTTTTATTTTTATCATCCAGATCTAGCTTCAAAGGGCTCTGGAATGTCCTTGCCACATCTGGACCTGAAAATAAGAGCTGATTTTTAAGAACCAGATTCTTGTTGCATTTGGACAGAATGAATAATGTGTCTTTCATATTTTCTTTGTATTTCTCTTGATTAGTTAACTGACCCAACATCTTTCCGTCTGCTCTATACGATGAAAATACAAACTAAATGATAATGGAAAAAATAAAGCATTGAATTGTACAAATTACAAATCTGTTCCTAAATATACTTACATTAAATAAAATACACATTTCATTAAGAAAACTATAATGGATGACTCTATGCATTCTGGAAAGCTTCACAACACCCAGGCAGGGCCAACGTTTATGGAAGAAGCTAAGAGAATTTGCATTCAATCACAGTTTGTAGCTGGTTTCTTATTGCCAATCTGCAAGTTACACTGAACACACCATTAGCTTCACTTGTGCTTGTCTCTAAAGTAAAACAGCAAGAAGTGGCCCTTCCGCTCCCCGTCCTCATGCTTCCCCAGTCCCTCTGGGTTGTCTTGGCCCTGTGACCATGTCATCCTGAAGGAGATCATCTTCATGACTGCCCATTGTAGATGGAGGGTGCAACATAAACACAGCAAGAACGTATATCTGGGCTTCTAAAGAGTTGTCTGCTTACCTTAATATGTTTACATTTTATCAAATTGTACTGTATAGGTTGTTGGAGAAATTCTTGAGAAGTTGTAATGAACTCAAAATTGAGGCTAGAGCTTAGCTTGCTTATCCTTCCCCCAAACAAAATTGGTTTCCTGCACAAGTGATGCTAATGGTGTGTTCAGTGTAACTGCCAGGATCTGGCACCCCAACATCACAGAGACAGCTGAAATTTGCCTAAGTTTACTGACAGAACACTGAATTGATGGAACTGGCTGGGCTCCAACAGGAACACTAAAGGATTTTGTTTGGGGATTAAAGTCTTTGTTTACTGATCTTCTGAATTGGGATGATCTACTGAATATTGAAGCTGGAGAACATCATTTGCCAGACAAGGACATCCAGAATAAAGTGGGCAACTACATCAAGCCTTACACCAGATAGTTACAGATTTGGGGGATAAAAGACCAGAGTTAGAGAGGAGTACAGAAAAAGTTGCTCCAGTGTCCAGAAGAAATTGTCTCCTGTCCCTCCACTATGAGGCAGCCCAGGGGCTCCTGAGGGGTGATGACACAAGCTGAGCCATGAGAATCTGCCCCAGGCACCCCCTGTCCAGTTTGGGCACTGATGGGATCACTGTCCCAGGAGGCCTTTGCCTCTGAGGACAGGCTACCCTCCAGTGGTCACCCTTGCATTCTGGACAGGGGCCGGGTGGCTTGCCCAGCCAGTGGTGCTGTTGGGGGCAGTCCTTCCTGAAGTGGCCAGTCTGACCACATTGGAAGCACTTGTTCTTAGCTCCTCTGGCTTCCCTCTGCCCCTGAATGGTGCCCGTTTAGTCGGACTGCCATTACTAGAGCTGTTATTTTTTTTACTCTCCCTTCTCTCTTTTTTCTCCTCTTCCTCCTGATCTCGGTTATAAAAGACCACAGTGGCCATTTTAAGAAGATTCTGCAGGTTATGATCTAGGCCTAGAGCCAATTTCTGGAGTTTTCTTCGAATGTCTGGGGCCGCCTGAGTAATAAATTTCTCTTTTAAAATAATTTGGCCCTCTAAGGAGTCAGGTGTAAACTGAGTG